CGTCTCCGTCCGACAGCGGGGCGGGCCCCTAAAACCCCGTGTAAGGGCGCCTCGGTGGGTCGCGGTGGTGCTTCGTGCCTTGCTGTAACGGCCGAGCCGGCGTTAGGGGCTCCTTCCGGGCGGCTGTCGACCAGGGAGCCGGGCTGGGGGGAGAACAGCCGAGCTGGGGCCCCTCAGAGGGTTTTACTGATGCTCTTGAAATACCATGTGTAACAGCTCTGGGGAAAGACTTATTCCATTTATTGGTAGTGTATTTTTGAGAACGTATGGCTGAATTACAGCTAAACGGATAGTGTCACTATGAAAGCTAGGGAGCTTAGGAAATTGGTTTCAAACAATTCATCTTTTCCCTTCCATCTGTTTTTCACGGCTTTGCTTACTGTCTCTTTAAGTATGACACTACTGCATAAGTAGAAGAAGGAAAAATTAACTCTGTGTGCAGAACAGTGAAGCATACTGCACGTGAAGTGTTCTGAAGTGTTGTTACCTCTTCGCTATAGTTCAAACTGGAACAGAGAGCTCTTCAAATAGAAGTACTCTTCTATTCCTGTAACTTTTTGTTTGTTTGTTTTTGTTGGTTTGCGAGTGTTTTAAAATAGGTAGCAAAATAAAGATTTGGGGCTTCTGCTCATTAAGCATGTATAGAACGATCTGGGGAAAGGGAAGAACCTCCCTTGTGAGCGAAGGCAAGACTGCTGTGTTGCACTGGAGGGGGGGGGGGAAACCTGCAGCACAGCTGATGGGCCTTTTTCTGATTACTGGGAAGGTGTGTAGGGTTTACTGAGATTCGGAAGCAACCCAGGCACAATGCCTGGTACAAGCCCTGTTGGGGCAAGACCTGTAAAGGTCTGTGTGTTGTCTTAAAGTGGTTCTGCTTTGATACATTAAGGGCTTATTGACTCGATTGGGTGCTGCACAAATGTGACTATACTGTTTGTGGTGCTTAGTTCTCTTCACAGCTTTTCATTTTTGAATGTTTGATTTCTGTTTCAGACATCTGAAAAGAAGGCATTATTAAGCTTAATTTAGGCATGTTATTCATGGTTCTGTGTGCAGTGCCTATCATGGTAACTAATGATTAGGCAGTAACTGACACATGATGGTATCTGTTGCTTTTGGAACATGTGCCAAATGCTTTGGTTGATGAGCTAATATGTCTTTTTTTTTTTATTTGCTTTGTCTCAGAACTGCAAAGAAAAGTTCACAGAAGCCTAAGCAGGAAGAAACAAAAAAGAAAAAGAGAACTATCAGACAGCCGCTGATGAGCAAGCCAGTGGATGATGTATACTTAACATGGTGTTATGAGCGGCCATCCTATGATGTAGAAGTGGCTGTGGGTATGCTAAAGAAATTTCAGGAGTTGGACTTCACTTACCCAAAACAGTATGTGTATGTTAACATAACTCTGGATATGGCATTACAGAAGAAGGTAAATAGGAAGTGGTTACAAATTTTCATGTCAACGCTGCAAGGGTGTGTTTTAAGTGTAGTGTAAACGTTGATGTTGGCCTTCTCAGCTGTCTCCTGCAGCTTCCCTGTTTGTCAGAATATTAAGCACTTTTGCAGGTGACACTGAGTCCTGACCCACGTGTATGCAATAAACATCCCTCAGATTCATGGAGTGAGGATGGAGTCATGAACACATCTGAAGACAGGCTGTCCTGTGACTGCAACTCAAGTCCAAGCAGAAGTGATCAAAATAAGCTTTATGTCTGTCTTGGGCTTTCAACTTAACTTGTAAACGTGCTCATTTTTAATAACATGACATGCATCTTTTCTGTAATGTTTCCAATGCTTTTTCACCCATACTGTGTTTGATAGCTCTGTAGTTATAAGCTTACTGGTATTGGTGGGAATAACTGGTATGGGGAGAAGTGTAAAGACAAACACGTTTTTCCCATCTCTGTCCACACCTTGTTCTTTTTTGCTAGTCATGCCCTTTGGAAGTATGCTGTTTTTTATTCCCATGTGATGGTTTTGCTGCTACGGTTGGGAATGCTGAATGTACACCACTTGTGGGTGTGGGTGTGTGTTTGTTTTTTTTTTTTTTTAAATCAAGAGTCAGTGGAAGGGAAGTATATACAGAGAAGGAAGAAATACATAGAAAGGACCTTATTTTACCTTATTTTATGCTCTGTTTCCTGGAACCTCTGGGGTTCATGCATGTACCAAATTACATGACTGCAGGAAAGAGTTACTGGCATCCTCAGTGATTCCTGGAAGATGCTTCTACTTACCTTCACAACTGTAGTAGCAGCTGTTCCGCTCCTGGTCTGTGTGACAGACTGGCTTCGAATTCAGAGCAGAGTTGTTACCTTGGCATGGCATTCCAGTTAAGCTGGAAGACCCTAATTTTTAGATTGGCTGTTTAGGGAGTGCCTTACTGCTGTCTGGTTACCTGGCTTGGATTCATGTCTCTAAAGTTTTTCAGAAGACATGGGTGTGAAGAAATCAGAGAAAGCACGGTGAATCTCTCTGTGCTAGGTGACATCTCTTGCCCTCTCCGTTTCTTTGGCGGCTGTCAGGAATCGAACCTGTGTGTGTCTTGTCAGTGGAGTATTTTAGCTTCCATAGCCTATCTTTCCTTTTGCTAAGGTGTCTAGCATGGTTTAGTCTTTTCTTGAAATTCCTTCTGTTTCCTTCATAGGTAGGAAACCGCTGGCCTGTTCAGAATAAAGGCTACTTCTTTCCTTGTGTACATAAAAGTCCCCTTGGTATACCAGCTGTCCTTTAGAACTAGGAAATAAATTGTTTACTTCAAGAAGTGTAGTGTCCTTGCTTCTGCTTCTGGTGGTGGTGGGCAGTTCTTAAGGCCTGGTGAGAGATGCGTTGCTTGCTGATGTTTTGCATTGGCTGTTAAATCAGAAACTTAATTTAGATAAACATCTAGGTGGTGTAGTTGTATGCAGCTTATCACTGACTGAACTCGAACACAGTAGCAGTATCATGCTTTAGGTTGCTGATCCCAGACCCTTCCTCTTAGGAAACTAACGTAAATAACTTTCCCTCTGTTAAGTAGATATAGCCTAGAAGCTATTCATGTTATATACTAGACTTTGAAATGTAGTCAAAATGTATGCTTATAGTGCCTTTTCATTATGAGCCTCGTGTAGGTAAGTTTGTTTTTTGGGGGGGCCTAACTCCATGCAGTTGTGTTGGCCAAGCTATTTACTACGATTTGCCCTGAAGTTATGGTTTTGATTCTTTTGTCTTAATTTTTTTCATTTTCTTTTTAGAAAAAGGTGGATCCATTTGCAAGCATTGTTCTTCTTCCATATCGTTTTACAGATGAAGTGAATAAGGTTTTGGTTTTCACGGAGGTGGGTAAAGGTGGATTACTTCAGTTATGTTTATAGCATGCTTGTACAACGCAACCAGTTCTCATACTTGTACTGTTCAGAAGATTCTGCAAATGCTTTACAGAACTCATGTTTAGGGTTTGTTTTCAGCAGTATCTTGATGTATTTACATGTACCTTTTGAGATTTCCTTCGTCTTGATGCGTGTTTACATATATGTAGAATATTCTAGTAATGGACCTAAGGAGTAATCATTGATATCCGCATAGATGTGACTAAGCGAGAGATGGTTTAAGTTTGTTAATCTAACCTCCCTGCTCAAGTCTCTTTATTAGAACGTAGAATGCAAATTACTCGTGGAATCGTTTTCTATTTCCATTTGCTTATGTTCAGCCTGTTGGAGTAAAACCAGGGAAACACACTGACAAACATGCATCAAACTCTTCCCCCTGCCCCCCGGCAGGGTGTTGCAAGCTTAGAATGAATTGAGGTAGACTTCTTTCACTGTTTTGCAGGCAAGACAGTGGTCATCTTACTTTCAAATTCTTGGCTGCTGCTGTTACTCTTTTTCTGTAAAGGCTTTAAATTTGTATGACTGAACTCAGAAAGCTGTTAGATTGTCTGGCAGAAACAGAATTTTTCTTGCAGAAAACAATGTTAGGGAATTCACCATAAGGAAGCAAAAAATATTCAGTTGGAGTACCTTAATGTGGTTTCTTTTGTGCGTGCTTGTAAAAACATCTTATTCTTTTAATACTGCGCAGAGCTGGTACGAGGGAGGTGCTGGTATTTTGCTTCTTCCTGTCTCTAATAAATCAGAGTAAGTGTCTTCTCTTCTGACTAGTTAATAATTTTCTAACCAACTCTCTCATCTCTGTTTCTGCTTGTGGAGAGTTCTGAGATAAGGATTAGAAACAAAAGAAGTTTCTCTTTTTTTTTTTTGGCAGATAGTATAGAATAAAAACTTGAGTAAATATAATACCGACCATTTAGTGTAGCAGTCAGTGTCCACCGCAGCAGTCTTAAACTCATTTTCTTAGTCAGCAGTGCAGAACAGAACTGTCTGCTATTTATGGTAACTTGTGTTGTAAAAGGATCCCATGGCAGGGAGGGGAAGCAAGTCTTCCTCAGAAAAACCCTAAAGAATGTAACCCTGTCCCCCAAACCCTCTGTTAATATGCTAGCAGTTAACAAATGAGATATTATGTGAAGAGCAGTTGCAGTGCCTGTATGAAGCTGGTTTCAGCCTCTTAGCTGTTGTGCTTTGCCAGCTAACAGACCAAAACTAATGGTGACTTGGGACTTCAGACTTTTGAATCACTAACAAAGTGAACATGCATACATCTGTATAAGACTGCCCTAGAGAAATATCATGGGTTTAGCTGACTACCCTTTGGACAACTCTGTCAAATTTGGCACATAAGGTACAAGGTAAGAATTTTCCTGTAGAACTAGCAGCTGATTGAAGATCTAAGCATGCAGAGTTGGTTAGCGCTGTATCTCAAAACCTTCTCTACTACGAATTCACGTGGGGTAAGATATGTCCTCCCTTATGAAGGAATATATATGAAAAGCTAAGCAACCAGAACACCTTGCAGTGCTTTCAGGTGGGAAGTGTAGAGCTACTTGGTTCATTTCTGTAAGAAAATGTCATTGTGAGTTTGAGACGCGAATATCTGCTGTGTCAAAAGCTGAGCTAGAGTTTGTATAAAATTGATATTCCCATATCAGTATTTCCTTTCCATATTAGAGACTACTAGTAATGAAACCTTGCAGAAGGACAGCTGAGGCTGCATTATACGTGTTCTTTGAAGTGAAAGATGGAAAGTACGTACCTTTTAAAGTAGAACAGCCTTATTCCTAAAGAGATAATTAACACTGGCTTTCAGTAGCATGCTCCATGCTTTGCTTTGAGTAACAAAAGGCTGACTCCATCTAGTGGATGGTTGGTTGCAGCTTCCAGAGGGTGAAGGTAGGAGAGAAAGGACATGTGAGATTGGTCACATTTCCTGAACAGTTCTGTTATTGCTGTCTACTGGAAGAAATGAGCTGCAGATGTTACTATTGCTTCTTATGAGAACCTGGAGCAAGCTGGAGTTGCAGTTCTTATATGAAATCCCCAGTGTCAGATTTTTAGTCTTTGGTTGTCTTTGACCATTTAGACGGGCTGTTTTTGTTATGAATAACTTATTTTTACACCCGATTGTCTAAGATGAATCACCTTTCCGGTGATACTGATAATGACCAATTAGTTGGTAGTCTAGATGTTACTAATATTTTTTTTTCTTTTTAACAGAAAAAGGAAGAAGCTGAAATAGCTCGGGAGAATGGAGCTGCCATTGTAGGAGGAGTTGAATTAATCAAATGGGTATTTATTTTTCAAGAGCTGTGCAAATTAAACATCCTCACTGATAACAGTGAATGGAGGAGGAGGGAGGAGCAAGGAATCTCATATTCAGCAAACTCTGTATTGAAATGAGCAGACAAAACCAGGAACGAGATAATGGGTTCTCTAATATGCTTGTAGATCTGTCTTTTTACCGAAGTCATTAATTCCTAAACATATTTATTTTTTTTTAATTGCAGATTTTGGAAGATGAAATACAAGTGGACTTCTATGTAGCTGTTCCTGAAATAATGCCTAAACTAATACCATTGAAGAGCAAGCTAAGAAGAAAATACCCAAGCTCAAAAAGAAGTACGAAGGGATTCTTTTTCATAAATATAAAGTATTGGAATCTGGAATACTGGAACAAGATTTAGCGTGTTTTTAATGAGGAAATAGAATGACACTGCGTATTTGGGATTGCATGTAACCAAGGGCCACTTAGTTCTCTCTGATAAGAGTTGCCTTTTGAAAATCTAGTACTGTTGAATTTCCTGTACAAGTGACACAAGCATGGGATTAGAGTCAAGATAAGTTTGTCAACTAGTTGCTCCTATACTTGTGATTATGAATGTAATAGAACGTAATAGAAACCCTTAAAGAAAATGGCTTCACTGAGGTAGATGTGCAACCGTTGCACAATTTTTTTTTTTGAGCTTAGCTTTGTGACTGTTACTGCTCCTTCTGTTTATCCAGGAGTTCCGAACAGCATTGTTCTTCATGCTTTTCCTTAGTACAATCTGTTTCCTTAACTGTATGATCTCTTTTTCAATAATGCTCAAGAAATTCCCTCTTTGGGTCAAGTTTCTGATAGCAACAAACATCAGTCTCTAAGTACCTTTGTCCTCCCTTGCAGACTCCCTTTATTTGTAACTGTGCTTAAGGGTTCTATTTCTAACTTGGGGAGGGGGAAAAAAAGATGCTATTCAAATATTACTGAGTCTGTGCCAACTGTGTGGAGTATTGCATCTCAAACTCTATCTCTTACTTCCTGCCCCAGCTGTCTTTGCGATGTTTTTACAAGCTGCAGGCAATGTTTTTAGTCTTGTAAACATTTGAGGCAAGCCTATTAACCTGTCCAAAGCATTGCAACAGAATACTCCAGATGTTTTTTGCTACTAATGACAGCTATATCGTGCCATTCCAAGTTCGTTTGCTTTGCAGGTTATTGACATCTGATTTCTCTTCGTCATCAGAGCACATGTGGGAAAAATAATATTTGTACTTGAAGGGATTGAGTAGTGATACTGTAAATCCACCAAATGAGCCCCTGCAGCTGAGATAGCAATCAGAAAAAGCTATGTTGACTTGCAGAAATGCTCAACTAGGCTACTGTGTTTCAGGTAGTGTGTAATCTTGCTGTTAACGTAGTTGTAGACAACTTGTTTTTTTAAGGTGAATACTTGGTGCTCGTTCTAACCTTAACTCCTTAGATTTCAGTGTTCCAAGCTACTTTAATTACACAGCAGAACTTTAATACACCTAGCGTGTTCTTCATAAGTTCTTTACTTGAAGTGAAGTCTCTAGTACATGTTTTGTACTATAGTAGCTATTCATGTGCACTGATGCATGGAGAAAGATGGAAGAGGGAGAATGACTTAGGTGGAACTCCGGAGAGGGCCCTGCTCTTGCTTGGGCAGCTGAACAGCAGCTTGAAGCTGTACTTGCTTGGGAGTTTCTTGTTTAATTGCCTCGACTGAAACATTGAATTCTCCCTTTGCTGCTCTTAGGCTTTGCCATGCTGATGAACAATACTCAAACTATTTTCTATCTATTTCTTGTTAAATTAGATTCCATGGGTCATGATATTCCCCAAATGCTGCAGCTCTTTAGAGAAGGCCTTGAGTATGCAGTAGAAGATGAGCGTCTAATCAAGACAAGAATAGCAAGAGTAAGTTGTGTACCGAGTTCTTAAGTTTTCTCTACTGAGCAGAGCCAGAGCTAATTTTAAATAGAAGGAAAAAAATGTTGTTAACATGTAGTAATGAAAATAGGCTCCAGTAACACCGAGAGCAAGATGTACCTCATGGTAAGTGGCTAAGGATGTCAGAAATGGAATCTGTATTTGCCACTATATTGGCAATGAATGGTAGTGCTGAATGAAATAGGATGTAAGTTGAATAAGTGATATGTACTTAGCAATCTCCTCACGACTCATGAGATCTGAACAGATTCTCCTCCTTTCCATTTCTGTGGGTAAAATAAAGCATATTTTATTTATTCAGTACATAAACTGGGGGTTGTAAGTCAGTGGTCAGTATGCACAGGTGGATCAAAAAGAATTGGCTTTATTTAACCTAATAATTAAAGACTAATTTAATATTGAAAACCTCTGAAATGACCTGATATAAAACAAAAACTGTTTATTTTGTATCACACTAAGTATCACAAAACTTGTCTATATCTTGGCATCTCTTCTTTTAAGAAGGCAGTTTATGTAAAAGGATCTTTTCCTCTTGTTCAAGGCTCTTTTTTTTTCCCCCCTCCCTTACTTGTTTCCCTTATTTTCCTTGCTCTACATCTTATTTTATTTTTCATTCTGTTTTGTCTGTGTGCCTTGCCTGAGTTGTAGCTTTTTTTAACTGGTAACAGTGCAGAAAGGAAGTTGACAAGACCTCTAATCCCTGAAGTTTTGTCTGGCAGTGTTAGAGATAAGGTAGCTTGTTAAGTCTGGCTAGCTGTGGCAAGTTGTGCATCTTGCTCTTTACAGAATTTGAAACTGAGGTTCTCAGGACTACTTGCCCAAGGTGTGTTGTATATTAAAGTTTTGCAGAGGTAGGGAATAGTTTCAGCTGTGTATAGCTTTAATAGGAGCGTGTGGAAGACAGAACCCATAGATCTATGCTGGTTTCAAGTATTGTAACTCTATTTTTTTTTTTTGTATCTTTAAACTTCAGGTGGTTTGAAACAAACTGTATTATACTGTAGATCAGCTTGAAATACCTGCAACTGAAACGTCTTGTAAAGCTTCCTTTAGCATTGTTAAGGAAGAAATTCGTTTTTTTTAACGAAGGTAAATGAAGAACTCTGGTTTAACAGCATTTGGCAAAACTGCAGTTGCATCAGCTTGGTATAGCTTCATACAGCAGTAGTTAGAGTTTCTGAAACGTAAAGCAAGTCCCGTTGTTAACGTTAAATGTTCCTGGTGTTACCCAGTACCTCACGTTCTGTAACTAGGCAGTTCTGCCCCTACAATTCTGTAGCACTTGAAAGATTTAGTGCAGTCAGGGATGTCATTTTGTGTTGTCATTTTTTTGTTGTTCTGTACTGTTTCGAGGAGGCTCTTCTGGTAATAAATAGCAGTTATTTGTGAATGAGCTCTTGATCTTAGGTCAAATAGTATGACTGGGGTGTACTTGTATGCAGGAAGTTCATCTATGTTAAGTTAATATTGGCTGCATAGCAGAGGTTACTCTATCACTGTGGTGTGTTCTGGGAGTTGTGAGCAGAAGGATGAATCTGGCTTGAGTAAAGCATCTCCACCCTTTCTAGCTACTCTGACCTAGTTTTGCTACTGTTAGTGCAGTGATGCTGGAAGGAAATCTCATTAGTATAGGCAAGGCTCTGGGAAGCCTTGAATGGGTATGCGTATCTGCACACTGCTAAATCAAGAGCTTCTTAAAATGACCATTAGAAAATTATGCTTCTGTGTAATTCAAAAGTGATTAAGATCCGTTCCTGTATTCCAAACAGCATAGATGTTTCTGGGTCTCTGCCAAGTTGGCCTTTCTCAGAGATGTTTTCCCTTTAGTGCTGCTGTCTTCTGTTGCTTGTTAGTTCAATTATGGCCAATGGCTTGATATAGCGCTGCACTCCCACACAAGTCAGCAGCTTCAGTGTTTTTTTTCCTATGTGTAGTAAATAATTGAGATGTCTTTGAGAAGCCAAAAAAAAAACTGGCAGCAGTTAGGTTTAATTATGTAATCTGAAGTGGTAAAACTGAGAATGTGAAATATTATTTTGAGAAATGGAGCTTAAAGTGAAAAGAAAGAATTGGGGATGTTCAGGGCATCTGTCGGAATGATACTACCTGCAGAGGGCAGCTTAAAGTGACTTTTTGTGGATTTTGACGTAGCTCTTGCAACTGGATAGTGTGCTGTTGACCACCATGACATGTTCTTTCTCTCTAACTGGATTTGTTGTCTATAGAAACATGAATCCAAATGTGACACTAAGCAGCAATCTCTTGTCTCTCTTCATATCTGTCCAGAGAGTTGCCTGGGAATTGATTCTTCTATGGAATGGATTAAGGTTATTTCAAGAAATCCAATTCCAAGGTTTGTTTTAAAGGATTTTTTTTTCCTTTTTTAAAGGAAAGGGCATGTTGACAGGAAGACAATTTTATTCACATGCTTATAACTGTGGAGAGATGCGTACCAGACCAGAATTCTCCACGGTTCTGGATACAGAAGGTAGAAGTGCATGGGAATTGAGAATTTAGGCAGGAAACAAGATAGAAATGTAGAAATAGAAATAACATCTAGAAAGAGCATCTTCCTCCCTCCTCTGTGGATGTGAATGTAGGTCATAAATGTCAGTGTCCCCTTTATTTAAAGAAAGGGGTGTGTCAGAACTTTTGAACTTGTAAAAAGGAAAAAAAAATCAATTGTGAATGAGGTACTTGCTTTTGCATTTTGAAATGTTTGCAAGTAGAAAAAGATTTATCAGGAGGACAGAAGGGAGTAATGTGAAAAGCATAGGTTCTAACAGTTGTCTGTTACCTCTCTGAGCTGTTCTCGGTTCCAGATCTCGGATGTAAAAGCTTGCTTCCCTGGGAAGCTGTTCAAGGAGCTATTTCTAAAGGATTCAATCTATGGCCAGGTCAAGATTAAGAGGGACACTCTGCCTTATATTATGTACTTCAGTGAGAGCTGAAGAGATGAGCGTGTGCTACAGGATTAGGAGTTGCTTAGGTCTTGATGGTGTGTATTGGACTGTACCTGAACAATATCCTCATTTAAAAAAAGGCTGTGATGTGTCTCAAAGGTAATCTCATATTAATTGGCCAAAGGCTTGAACTTGGAACAGAACAGTGGACCAAGCATGTGAACAAGTTTTAGCAAATTTAGGAGTAGGAAACATCATTTTTGAGGAGAATGTGAGAACTAAGGGCTAAACTTGAGCCTTAGTAAGGGTGGCCCTTCTAGGCCTATGGGTCTTTTTCCCCTGTATACTGCATGAGACTACTACCTCAGAAATGCTTCCAGCTCGAATGGCGGGATGAGAAAATGGTATTTGCAGCATCCAGGTTATAGGCTCCTGCAGAGCCTTAGGACTTTGTCCTTCTCAGGAAGGTTCATAATCTAGCAAAGCCTGTGAAATCAAGGCAAGACAAAACAGGTCAGTACTCTGCTCTTGTTTTCACTGTCCTTGATGTTTTCATGAATGTTGTAGAAATGTTGGTCATCTGCCATGTTTGTCAGCACTTATCTGTTTAGAGGCTTTTTGATTGTGCACGCAGAGAGATGTTCCACTTCATGCCCTCGCTATTCAACGAAAGATGCTTGATTTGGCAGAATAATGGCAAAGACTTATTCTTGTAATATACTCCTGCAAAGAAAAATAAAATCTCTTAGGAGTAGCTCTAACCCAGCTTTTAAAATAGGTTCACTTAACGTTTTGTATTGAGGCGTTTGAGGGTCTCTTTTTTTGGTAGGGTTGAGCAGAGTCAAGTACTCTTTGAAAGTAAGAGGAAATCTAGTCTGTCTTGAACATTGCGTAGACACAGAGAGGTTATGTGATGCTATGGGGTCCTGGTCGCTTTATCACTGTTAATAATTGCTTGCTGTCTCACCGTTGCTATAAGCTGAAAGGTAAAACAGGGCTCTGATCTTTATTAGGCAGGGCGGAGACAATACTTGGTTAGAAAACAAACCTATTAAATCATGTCTGCAAGGACACTTCTTGCATATGACCAAATTAAAAATTGCAAATATTGCAGGTAGCTGGATTTCCAGACCTTCCTGTTGAAGTAGTCAAAGCCAAGACAGTTGACATCTCTGGGTTTTCTGTTCTTGTTAGTTTGTTTCTCTTGTTAGCGGATTCAGGATAGATCTTTTTTCTAATTTAATACCACAGCAGGTTAACTGAGCTTACAGCTTTGAGAACTGATCTAGTGTTCTGCTTAAATGGTCACCTGGCAGCCCAGGCCTCTTAGGTGCCTTGAGATAAAGCCATAAAAATTTCCAGTTTCCTTTTGGGAAAGGACACTTTGTGACTTATCGGGGAGACAAAAGGGAGCCATATGAAAATGTCTTTGGTATAAGCCATTAGGGGAAAAAAAACAGAACCGGAGTTCTGAGTAAAGGTGCTAAAATTCATAATTTCCTCAGTATTGCAGCCTTTATTGTGGGAGGCTGAGCCCTCATGGTTTCTTATGTGGGAAGCTGTCAGCTGTGGCAAAGGCTGGGAAATCATTGGCTGGATCAGTGCTAATGTATGTTCATTCTGGCTACCTCATAAAGAGACAGGCAGAAAAAGGAAAATTAGCTCAGGGAATGGGAAATGGGCTCATCTATCTTGCTGTACTTGGCTCTCTGGAATGGATTATGGTAGGAGTGTAGGTTATTGCATGGTTTACTCTCTTATGCTGTTGGCTGCAAGTATGGGAAATGTCAGTGTGAGACAGGCTTAAGTTTTTTTTCCTCCTTTAGATTTCTTGTATGTGGTGGGAAGTAACTCTGAAGTGAAAATACCTTTTGGAGAGTTATGCATGCAAAGAAAAGGGCTGTTGCCTGTATTCCCTTCCTCCTGGAGAAGGGGAGAGTAAAACAGCTTGATGGCTCAGGTGAGCATTGCAAGACGCTCACTGGACACAGGAATAAGCCAAGTTGGATTTGCTGACTTTGTATTTGCGTATTTCATATTTCTTCTAGGCAGACTCATTTTTATGAGGAAAAATGCAGTTTGAGTCCTATATGCATGTCTGCCATGGAATATTTCATTTACTTTACAGGTACAGCACAGCTAAGTCAACAGCTATCTTAAAACATGGTTTGCCTCTAGAAATTGCTTCATACTACACTAAAATTGACTCGGATTGGTTCAGTAGTGTCAAAATGCCAAAGGGATTTTTCTGCTTGTTAATAACTGATGTGTTAAAGTACAGTTTCTTTGAAACTGTACTCATCAAAAATGAGATGAGCGCCACTTTTCTGACAAATTTGCAAAAGGAGGGATTACTTCACTGCTCTGTCACTTAATTGAAACTGCATGAAGCTTTCAGTTCTATTATTTCTATAGATGGCTGTAGAAAGAAACCTATCAGAAACCTTGCTAATTTTGGAAAAGACGCTATTTCTATTCTATAGAGGCAAGTGATAGATACCTTCAGAGAAGCGCCGCTGTTGTTTGGTTTACTTGGGCATGGCTTTTGGTTTTGTGCAGTTTGTAGTAAAAGCCCCATCTTGGGGTTTGTGTGACATGTAGTAAGTCAGCTGCAAAGTACAGTGCCTGACGTGTAGCTGTGTATATTATGTTACTTGATGCATGACCTTAACTTTGAGCGGTCAGCTTTATCTTACTGTTTTTTCTGCCCTGCTACGACCTCCACTTCCATAATGTGTTCATAATGTGTTGTATTTGAACTGCCTTATAGTTGAGTCCATTGTGCAGATCTGGTGACCTGACTGATCTCTTGTGAGAATAACTGTGAATACAATTTCAAAAAGTAGTTTTGGGCTGAAGGCTGGTGTTTTAATTGCAGGACGTATTTTTGTTCTTTTTTTGCATATTTAGCTAGCAAACACCTTTTTTTTTTTTTTTAATATGTTCTTGTTTATATGTGCAGTTGCAGCCTTCTAAAGATCTGCTAGGCATTAGAAGCATTGGCACTTCATGAGTGAAGTTTTGAACATGATCTGTTTTGGTGAAACTTCCGCAGCACTGAATATTTATGGGCAATATCTGACTAGGCAGCAGAGATGGACACATCTTTAAAGGTGTACATATAACCTGTTTCTTTACTTGAAAACGAACAAAACTTCCCTGAATCTTGTTGCAGCGCCTTGTGCTGCTCTGTAGAGAAGTGCCCTAAACATTCAAGAGAGAAGTAGGTATTGCGTCATATCTATTCTCTGACTGTAGTATATACCATCATTTTGTAAGCTACTGCGTGGTTAGGTTATGTTTGTAGGAATAAGTGGTCGAGAACATCATTTATAGCAACTCCCTCTGCAGGCACTCTTATTCTTCAGGAAGGCTCAGATCTGAAGATGCATAGCTCCCGTTAAAATCAGTCTGAACTGAGTAGCTTGAACAGCTTTGAAGATGCGGTCCAGAGCATCTTTGTCAGTTCAGTGTAAGGCTGAATTAAATTAAATATCAATGTGCTGGTATAGCGTGAGTGTACCTATGCAAGTAGTTACTGTGGTAACGTGGAAACTACTTTGAAATACTCAAAGCCTTTGAGCCTTCCTTTTCTTGATTATGGAGCTGTTGGCACCTAAGTAACTTGCGGTGTGTAATCTCTTGGGGGAAAGCATGTTGTCTGCCTGGACGCAAGTTTCTTTGTGTCCTGTTTTCTCTCTCTAAATGTAGAATACATAAATATCTCAAATATGAAGAAATTGGTTAATTGTCTCTTATAATGACATATAACTTCCTATAAAGGACAGAATTAAAAGTTGACGTTTAGAGCATCTTGTTAATTCTATATGTTATGGACTCTTCTAAACTGGGTTACAGATTGTAAATGCTAAGTAGGTCATTTAACTTCAATTGAAGAGTCAGTTAAGGTTTGAACTTAGTATAAGGTTTGGAAACAAATGGTTCCAAACCTTGATCTGAAGTATAGTTTCTAATTAGTAAATTAAATATTTTGTTTAGATGGCTCCAGGTTAGTGTTCTTTATTTTTTTTAAAGTCATGCTGCTTGGTGAGTCTGTCAGTGAATTGAAATACATAACGGTAGTCAACACTGATTTTTTGACATCTGTTGCTTTATGGGTGATTGAGCGCTTTGCAATTAACATAACACTGGTTGAAAGATGAATGCATACTGGTGTGTGTAGCAGAATTGTATTTGGACTGAAAGCCTGCCAGAAGAGCATGAACAGGAATTAATGGATCAAGTTTGGGAGGAAAGTAGTGAAGTATAACAGCGTTTCTACTGTAATGTAAGCCATATGTGGACAGAAAAATAATTAACGTCTTGGTTAAAATTTACTTGTGCTACTTTGGAATGTGAGGAAAGGAAGAGGAGACTCCAGTGTTTGCTAGGAACTCTGCTGAGACAGAGTTAACTTAAATGAAAAATGCTGGGTTTTTTTCCTTAGCTCCAACCCTGCAATCTCCAGGAAAAACAACAGGGTTTTCAATTAGATGAAGGTATCTGGTTGATAGGAGTGAGAGCAGACAGCAAACAAAGTGTATTGTAGCGGGGTATTAAAACAGCAAAACATTGAATTTAAGAAATGCATGTCAAATCCTTCAGGAGCTGAAGTCAGCCAGCCCTGGCTTTGATCTGAGGGTGTTCAGGTTGGCATGTCTCCTTATCGCAAGCTGTTCATTATTAAAGAGTCTGGATGGGATCAGCAGCAATTTGGGTTTAAGATAATGGGTCTGTGAGGTAGGATGGAGATGCTGATTTTCATGGCACTGATGTTAGCTCACTCCTGGGATTTGTGATTGGCCCAGTTGGGGTGGAAACTGCTCATGTGCCTCAAGTGAGATGCACCTAAGTGCCCTGTTAGGTAAGGGCCTTGGACAGGACAAGTGTGTGTTGGAAGGTGAAAAATGCCACGGGCAGGAATTAGGGTACATGAAAAGGGTAGATACAGAACTCGTGTGTGTGAAAAGGTAGTGTTTAGAGTTAATGCTGGAATGTTTCCAGATACTTTCTGTAAGAGGTAGAATTTCTATGTGAAATGTTGAAAATGGCAAGGAAATAGAGAGGAAGAATTTCTTAAAACAACACTAATGATTTTGGTTCAATCCCGGTAATACATCTCTTCAATTTGAGGTGGTTCTGTGTTTGAGTGGATGTCTTTTATAATCTGGCAGCTGCTTTTCAAAGCTTCTCTCCTGAAATGCTTAATTTCTGATAGGATTTTTGTCAAAGTACTTGTGCATGTATTGTTTGTTTGTCCCAGTACAAACTATTGTCTTTATTTCTTCTTTTAAGGCTACATGTGGTACACAGAGCCTTGGGGAATTTAGTGCCCTAAGGAGAAATAAGAAAAATAATGATGAGCCTGTAACACTCTATAAAATACTTGGAATCATCTAGCCAAGGTTGTTAATGGGGTTTGTAACCCTTTAACAGAGGACACCATTTGAGGAAACAAAATCTACCCTAATAGAGAACAAACCCGTACCCAGCCCACTCAGTTGTATTTATCTAGGCTTTAAGTTTCACAATGGCTAACTTGGAACTATCGTTTTCCAGCTGGATATGCCTACTGAGCAGATAGTTGCCAATCTAGATGCAGTTATCCAGGACGTCTGCAAATTCAAGCCATCAAGCTATGGTAAGTAGCCTTTCTTTTCATCAGTTAATTGAAGTTAAAGCGAACTAAATGAAGAAATGAGTGTTCTTAACCAGAGTGTCGTCAGATGACCTCGTGGCTCTATCTCCTTTGAGACAGGACACGGGAGCTGTCAGGCAACTCGGTAGATCGAGGCCCAAGAACGTCCCAGTCCGTAAGGGCATGAATAGGGTCTCTTCCTATTGATGTGAACTCCTGTTGCACTGCAGCAGTACATAAGCTTCTGGGGAAAGAAATGAGATAATATAGTAATTTAAGCTTGCAGAGTTGATGCTTGAATGAATTGTAGCCACACAGTGAAATCCCAATGAGACGTTGGCATCTTCAGGATTGGCTTTACCCTACTGACATGACTCTAGAGTTGAGTGCGAAGGATCTGCAACTAGACTCCACCCGCAGTTACTTTAGTTGAAACTAAATCTAGTCCTATGTCAGGTACCTGCTTGTGAAGACATACCGCCCGTTCTATTCTTTTATTGCTAAGATGCCTTTTGAATTTCTGCTGACTCTTCTGCAAAGCTGCTAGTGCTGGTTTTGAAACTGCTGA